GCTCCAGTGGCACCTGTGCAGAGGAAGGAGGTGTCCCCAGTAAGTGAAGATCAACAAAAAAGAACTGGTCAGCTCGGAACAACAGGAGAATTCTCAGGCAGAAGACCGAGTTCTTGGCCGGATTTCAGCTTCCTGTAAATTTCGGCGTCTTTTAGAAGTGGACATGTTGCCAAGCCTTCCCTCACATGCACACCCCCAAAACGGTGAACCCCATTCGCGAGACAGAATCTACAGCAAATGCCTCTTTTGAAAAGATGACCGTGAACAGCAGATGTGGGCTCAAGCCATTTATTAGTTGGGAAATACCCGCCGTGCCAGCTGAGCGAGGGGGCGTCTCCGCTGCCCCCACCAGCACACTGCAGCGGCTCAGGCTGCCCAGGGCCAGATGGGCAAAAAATACAAGTAAACACGCTAGTGGTAGAAAGGTCTGTGGCGACTCTTCCTCCCGACTGCAATTCTGTCCTCCAAACTGAAGGGGGCAGCAGAGTGACTCAGTCTCTCCCTTTTGTTCTAGTCCATGTCAATGTCCTCTGTGCCGACGGTTTCCTCGCTCTTCACCCAGGGCAGCGGCTGGGGCACGTGGGGGTCGTAGGTCCAGCGCGGGAAGACCCGTTTGTACAGCGTCATCAGTACAGTGTCCTGGGAGGGCAGCTGCTTATCGAACACGCACTTCATGTGGCCGTGGGTCCCTGCAGGAGGGGTTAAATCATGAGTGCAAGAGCAGCTGTACCGCAGAGAAGCATTTAAACCCAAGAATAGAGGTATGTCTTTACACAAAGGGCCGAGACCCTGACCTCTTTCACTTAGTTATTACGCGTTGTCCCAGTATGCACACTTGTGGTCTTGTGCCCTTTGCGTTCCTGCTCAGGTCTGCAAGCGTCCTAAATCTGTTTCACAGGGGGGCTCACCAGCGCCCCCAAAGTGCCCTTCTCTGAAGTACGCATCGGAGCAGATTTTGCGAACGGGAATCACCCCCCAATGACCCCCAGACAGGTGACATTTCATGTTCTAGCCTATCAAAGTGGAGAAGTTGCCATGGAGAATAAAATGTTCGCGTGTTGGTAAAATTGAACTTTAATTTTACAGTTGTTAAATTCATAATATTTTACGTCTAAACAAAACTTCATCAGGCTACTTTCGATTCATTCTGTGTCTAAGTTTGGATTTTATTTTGTCACCTCACTTTGACTGCTGAATATTTGTTTACCTGTGGTGTATTCAGTACTACATGTATTTAATAGCACAAAGCTTTGAGGTATTGCGAATTGTACCTTTAGTTTATTTTGAATGAGCGTGAATTAAAGCATTATATTCCTCGTACAGTCATTTTTGTACTGGGACAGACGATATGAAATGCATTTGGTAGGATAAAGAGAGAGCTGTACTGCCAAGTTCTCCTTAGTTCACTTTGTTTTGAGTGGAGTCGGCTCAACATGAATGAACATGAAGTGTCACTACTGTTGTGCAGGGGACAGACGAGATGAAATTCATTTTCATCAAACTGCAAGCGGAGAATGAAAAAATCTTTTAAAAGAATATCTGCAGACCTGCATTTAAGCTACTGGAAAAGAAGCCTGAATAAATGACAGCATTCTGAACCCGTGTGGCCAGCCGGTGCTGTCACACGAGGGGGCCCCACTGCCCTGTTTATGCGTGAGGATTCCTTCCTGCGTCACAGGTGTGGACTTGGAGGAAGAGCTTAGGGTGACAGCTTGGACACGACTCGTACTGGCAGTGACCTCCTTCGTGTTCATGTAACCACAGCCTCTCTTTGTACCAGTCCTGCTGCAGGAGGGGAAGACGACCCACAGAACAGGCAGAATCCCGGACCAGATCAGGGAAGTGAGGCAGCCAGGGTGTTTCTGCTGCAGGCTGATCTCACGACACCACAGCAATACGGGATTCAGAATGTACCAACAAAGGCGGTGCTGAAAAGGGCACCCCAGTGCACCCCGTCTCTCTCCCCCCCCAACTCACCCAGAGCCTCCTTGATGTGACCCCGCCGCCCCCACTTGGTCCGCAGCTCCACGGGCCGGAACCAGTTCACATCGTCTGCGGGACAGAGAGGAGAGGTCACTGCAGGGCAGAGGAGACGCGCCCCCCCACCACACAGACCCGCCCCCGGGGCTCGGGAGCCCGCAGTACAGTAGGCCCCCATCACGTGGCCCCCCCAGAGCGCTCACCCCTGTTGAAGAACATGTAGCGGACCACGGCTGTCCGGCGCACGATCTTGAAGGGGTGTCCGCTGAGCACGATCCTCTTCACCACCACGCGCTGGGGGTCGGCCTTCAGCAGGGAGCCCGTGGCGATCAGGTCCTGCATCCCTGCGAGGAAGAGTTTCCCAAAAGGCACAGGGCTCAACACAGGGCGGCTTCGCGGACCCGCGCTTTCTGGGATCAACACCAGTCAGTCCAAGACCAGGGCACTGCTAATCAGGGTCTGTGAAGCGACTGCTTCCCCGCAAGGAGACAAGACACACACACAC